AATCGTAGCGCAGAGCAGGGAGCACAGAGAACTTGTTTCTTTTTGCCTTTTTTATTTAAAACCACTCTAACCTCTGGTTTGGGCTCCTTGCCCAAGCAATAAAATACACATTGGGTAACTTGTGGGGTTTTTATCTCATGAATGACACCAGAATCTCTGTCTGTTTTGATTCTAAAATGACTATTAGAGTGCCAGGTTACAGCAAAGAGGATGAAAATTTTGACAAAACCTGAGTTAAGCACTCCTGCAGTGGAAGCAATGTGCTGCTGAGATGCCTGGTACCACCACAATTAACTTCCCCCTTGTCCACGAGCGGAGGAGAATTACGGAGAACGCTGGTTTGTCAGAGCGGGCAGCCCACTTGATCTGGTAAGAGGATGTTCTCCGTTACGTGGCAATTCCAAGTGATACAGACTGTCGCATTCAGCTAAAGAAAGGGAGAACCTGAATAACCTCCTGAGAGACTGTGGGGCTGCCACTCCCTGTTGGCGTGGTGCAGAGCCGCAGGGTGGGCAGAGGGGGAGGCAGCAGTTCGTTTGCCCTTTCTTAAGGCCACCCTTGCTTTGGCAGTGGGGATGGAGTTCGTGAGCAGTCCTGATACAGAGCGGGAGGAGGGCCCATTTCTAGGTGGCCCCTCACGAGAAGTGATGGCGTCTCTTCCCCCACTGTTCCAGGCAGCAGTTTTGCCAGAGCCCTCCTCCTGACAGCACGGTGAGGAAAGGCAAGGTGCTTCTGGTTGCTCTCTCCCCTCCCGTGGAACACGCCGACCGCTGTGTTCCCTCGGGGACCAATTCCCAAAGACGATGACAGAACTTTGGAGGAGTCCTGGGACTCTACCCTGGAAGAGGAGAGCTGAAGCTGCTGTGTTGTGAGTGCGGTACCCGTGTGTGCTTTCCTGGTACAGCCTTGCTGCATAAGTACCCAGAAGCAGGGATGCTGCGGTGATTTTTGACACAAGCAGCCTGGTGTGCCCGTCTGTGGTCCAGCCCCTGATGTGCCCGTGTGTTTGTAGCCAGCGGTTTTTCCTGAAAGCGAATGGCAAAGCTTTGGGTGGGAGCGCCGTGCCTCCCTCCGGCAGCGTATGCGTAAAGGACTCAAGCTGGTGCTGGGCTGCGTGCTGCACTCTGCCCCAGTTTGGGGGGAGCCTGCGCTGGCGGGGCAAGCGCTCTGCCGTGGCTCTGAGTGACAGCTTTTCATCTTGGCTTCCTGTGGTTTCTCTCTGCAGAGCGACGTGGGAGAGCGCTGCAGCGTGTCTCGCAGGGCAGTTCGCGCTGGTGCTAAAACTCTGCGCAGAAGAGCCCAGCAGTGACCTGGTAGTCGTGAGGACTCTTTGGAGAGGCCAGCGTCCTTCTGCACGAGAGATGATCGGCTGAGCTCGGGTAAGTTCATTTCCTAACTAAACTTATTGTGAGTCTGGACAGTGCAGAAAGCTGAACCAATTCCTGATGCTGTCTGGGTGCTGATCGAGCCAACTGCTGCTGCAAGCTCAGGTACCGCTGCTGCTTTTTACTTTTCTTTTTGAAGTAGTTGCGGTGCAGAAGTAGCTGCTACCGATGTGTCTGCAAATGCATTCCAGCTTCTAGGTATGATAAAAACACATCACGCTTACGGGCTTGTTATCAAACCCAGTGACTGAGCAGCCCAGGTGCAGCTGTCCAGGCAGGTGTCTCGAAGCAGACTAACTCTGCAGTTAGCGCAAAGAACTGTGGTGAATTTTTGCTTTGTTTTTGGGATCCCAGAGCAACTGTTAAAAATAACCTAAAGACATTAAAATAAAGGACAATGCTCTGTTAGCGTCATAAAATGTACTGTCAGAGAGCTTCCGTACCGACTCCTAGTCTCAATAACTTTTTTTGGTGTCCGTGATTAATACTTGTTACTTACTATCAAGCAGTATTTAGGATTCTTTTCCCATTTTATGTTGCTGCATTACTAATTCTTTTTGGTTGACTCCGTTTGGACATTCGGTGAGTGAGGAGATCTGTCTTTCTGATTGCTTGACGGTGGCGCTTTAAAACTAAAACCAGAAAAACCTCACGCTTGACCAGAGTTCCCAGACTCAAGCTTGGTTTGATATGAAAATATTTCTAACAATTTAATGAACTCAAAATCCATTGGAAACTTTGTGTGCTTTTCTGTGTTTCTGTAAGTCAAATAACTTTGTAGTCAAACAGAAGTTCAGTGATGCTTTTTGGTTGGCAAGAAATAACCGCCACCCCCGCGAAACAACAAACACAAAAAACCCAGCAAAACAACTCTGGGGAAGCAAAGCTGGCTGTGGAATTGGATCGGACGCCGTACTTATTAATGGTAGATACCTAAATGGTGCGTGGTTGGGAGAGATGAAGGTGGCTGTATGCTTGGAAAATACATGTTTAGTCATAGACTCTGTCACTTCTGTTACCTGTCGCAGGGAATGGAAATATTTTCAAGCAGATCGATGCACGTGGTGGGTGCTGCAGCGCGTATGCAACTGCTTGGGACTGGGCGCAAGACCAGGCTGTGAGAGGCCTGGACAGTACTCCGTGGCAGGGAGCTGTGATTCCCCGCTCCCCTTCGCTGTTCCGTGCCTCTGCTGTAGCTGAGCTTCCTGGGTTCCCGTTCTGTGCTGGGCTACACGTCGGGCTGGGGGTTACAAGCATCTCCGGGACGAGCTTCACCTCTTCCCTCCCAGCAGCCGGGGTCTCGGTGTCGCCCGCTGACCGCTCTGAGAGCGTAGGGGCTGATGTGGGATCCTGTTCCAGGTGGGGAATGGTTTAGGGGATTTAGTGAGACACAGCGTCGT